TCTACCGCCCTCCTCACCGCCTCCCCTCCACTACCACCCATAAAATCCAGATCATTCAAAACTCTGCCGCCCGCATTCTCACCCGCACCAAACTCCGCTCCCTGATCACCCCAGTCCTGGCCAGACTGCACTGCCTGTCCCAGAGAGGATCGAATTCAAGATCCTCACCCTTGTATTCAAATCCCTTCTCTCCTCTGTACCCCCCGACCTCTCTGACCTCCTCTCTCCTCAAAACAGTACCCGTTGCCTCGTTCCTCCGGGTCTGACCTCCTCCTTGTCCCCCGCTCCACCCTAAGTGGCCGTGCCTTCAGCCACTATGCCCCGAGGCTCTGGAACTTCCATCCTCATTCCCTTCGTCTCGCCCCCTCCCTTCCTATTTTCAGGTCTCTGCTGAAGACCTTTCTTTTCGACCGCGCCTTTGGTCACCTTCCCCCCCTGGCTCCTCCCCCTTCCCCTGGCTCGGTCCCGGGATCTGTTACTGTAAAGTGCTTTGAGACGCCGTCCAGCATGGAGGGCGCTATATAAATCCAAGTTGTTGTCGTTGTTGTTTATGTCTGTGAGTGGAGGGCAAGGAGGTGGAGCTGGGAGGTAAGGAGAGGGATAGGGTTGAGGGAACAGGTGGTCGGTTTCTTGTGGGTTATGGTGGTGACGAGAGAGGAAGGGGAGACAGGTTCAAAGAGGGAGGGATGGGTAGGGACCAGGGTGAGAGGGGCAGATAGGGAGGGGGTAGCAGACTGAAGGGCAGAGGCAGCTAAGCTGACCCCCCGACTTTAGATTTGAGGACTTCCAGGATCACCTTGCAGTTGGCATTGGAGGGAGGATGGGTGAGGCGTGAGCGGGTGGGTGGAGGAGCCAGTTGTCCTTGGCCTCCAAGATTGTCTTAGAGTAGAACGACGATTTAGTGGAGGCGAGGGCGGAATGGTAAGATTTGCTATGGTTCAGCCAGATCTGCTGATGGACCATTAAGTTGGATTTGAGCCAGGTGCGCTCAGCGGCACCCGCCTGGGCTTTAAGGGTACGAGGTGGATGCTGTACCAGGTGACTTTCGTGAGTAGGAGACGGTTTGGTAAGTGAGGGGAGCGAGGGAATCGAGAGTGGAGGACAGGGAGTTGGGGAGGAGAGTAACTGAGGAGGATAGGTCATTGTAGGAGGAAGCCCAGAGGGGAAGGAGTTCAGATGACTCCAAGGCAGCCAAGAGGAAGGGGGGGGAGGCAAGGAGAGATTATTTTCCAGGGGTGGTAGGAGTTGGAGGCGGGTTGGGTGGTAGTGGGGAGAGGGATTGAGGAATTAAGGGAGATGAAGTGATGGTTCGAGATTGCTTTGTCGATGATGGTGAAGTCCAAGATGGTAGGCCCTGAGTGATCATCAGATCGAGGGGGTGACTGCGGATGTGGGTGGCGGAGTGGATGTGGAGGGAGGAGAATTAAGACTCCAATCTTCCTATTCACAGTCAGTGTTTTGTGAGCCTCACCTTTCCCAGTGTGACTTCTTTAACTTGAGAGTCTCTGGTCAGGAGAAGCAGGGAACAGGCCAGGAATTTCTGCTGGAGAGGAAAGGCGTGTTCGGCACCACTGCTTGACTTCATCCTGTCCCCGTAAACCTCGGACATGACCCGGGAAATGTGAGGCAGTGAGACTTTCACCAGCCGCGAAGTGGGAGAGCCTTTCTCAGGAGCACTGCCTTCAGGAGGAAAAACAATACGGACTCAGCAAAATAGGAACGTAGGGATTTATTTTTTGATCATCCAGGTTAGCGCTGACACAGAATCACGTATGTACGTCTCGGACACATGGAAATTCCCAAGCATCGGGTTGAGGCTGCGTTTATGCTGTGAAACACTTCACACAATGTGTCCCAGTGACTCTTCCTCCCTCAGCTTCATTGGGTGTACAGGGAGGTGACACAGACAGACAAAGCAGCCGTGGAGGTGAACAACCAATTTTATGTGGAGGACTGTTAACCAGGACCCTGGGAGGAACTCCCTTCTCTCTCGTGTCATGAGATGTGTCAGTGTCCACCAGAGTAAAGGGAGGCACATTTGCCCTTAACATCTCACCTGAAGGACCTGCATCTCAAAACAACGCAGTGCTCCCCTCCCCAGCCTTTGGGTGATCTTCACCCCCCACCCCCCAGCTCAGGTGCAGGATCAGTGTTGAACACTGAGGTGTGAAAGGCACTGTATAAATGTCAATCGTATCGCAACGGCAGGTATTATGCTGAAGCTTCAACCTGAACCAGGAGCTAAAACTCAGAGCTTGTAACTGCGACTTACATTCAGCGACAGGTTTCAGCACAGTCTGGCACCTGACATCCATCTCCACCATTTCCACCGCACGCCTGTAACCATAGCAACAGAGGCACATCAAATTATAATAATAATAATCTTTGGATTTGATATAGCGCTTTATCACTTCTTCGAGACGTCTCAAAGCGCTTCACACAATATACTGTAATGTGAATTGACTGTCTATTTGTGGGCGAATCGCGGCAGCCAATTGCACACAGCAGTGCCCCACACACAGTCGTGGATTGAAGTGACCAATTTATTATTTACTTATTATTAATTTTTTTGGTAAGCTAGAAAAGCAATCCACCAATCAACTAACAACTGGGTTCTTACTTAGTGCTGGGTAAGCAGAGGCGTGTGGAGTAAGGAAACTTGCCCACATTTCGCCCTACCACGAATCGAACCCAGGTCTCTCGCTTGGGAGTGCTCTAACCATTGAGCTACAGGACTCCAAATTAGCCAAAACCCTGCTCTCCCCTTCACCCCTCCCCCACCCCCCAACTCTCCAAACACCTTTCTGGAATGTTACCGCCAACATATTTGAGTGTTCCTGCACGTGAATAATTCCAATGATGACCCCCTCCCTCCCCGGGACCACTATCTGGTGAGCGGCAACCCAGGCTGACATGGGGTATAAACCCTCCAGCCCGACAATGAACATTTGCTAATTGACGTGGCTTCTGAAAGCCTCAGACCCCAAACACTCTGTTAACCAGACTGTGGAGAGTGACCTGACTCTGGAGCCAGGTTTACCAGGAGATGTTACAGCGCGCTGGGTTACCTACCTGCACACGTCCAAGGCTTTGCGAGCGTCTCCAGATAAAGAGGAAACTTTGCCAGCGCAGAACTGAACGGCAGAATTATCCAGGACCTTCTCCCCCGGGACCTTTTACATGAAACAATAAACAGCTCATCAAAACCACACTGACATAGAGCAGAGCCCAGCGGGGCACCGGCTAGTCACAGGTAACAATTTAAAGCACAATTTTCGGCTCCCCGCACCTCTACAAACATCCTAGTGTCTGATACTGGGCCTAGAACCTCAAACTGTGTCAGAGATTCACAAGGAATTGCTGGCAAGTGACTGGTTTTTCCGGAAGATGGTCAACAACAGCAGCTATCATTTATAGCCTCTTTCACATCAGGGGACAACCGTAAGCGCTGGACAGTTGAAGGTTTGCACCTGAGCTGGGGGTGGATTTGGGAGCGGGGACTAGGAGGGTGCAGGTGGGAGGGTGACTGAAGCCATAGTCAAAGAGGAGGGTCTTGAGACGGGTACTGAAGGAGGCAAGAGAGGTGGGGAGGTAGAGGGGCTCTGGGATGAAGTTGCAGAGCGTGGGGCAGAAAGGCCGAAGGTCTATCTGCTCGTGGTGGATCAGGTAAGGCGGTGGGCGTAGAGCAGGCCGGAGCCTGCACAGTGGAAGGAGCAAGGCCGCGAAGGGCTTAAAAAGTGAGGACGAGGATCTTGAATTCTATCCTCTGGGGGATGGGGAGCCAGTGAAGCCAGGTGAGGGTGGGACTCACGGAGCTTAGTGCGGGAGAAGACACAAGCTGCAGAGATCCCAATGGTCTGCAGCTTGTGGAAGGAATATTTCGTAAGTCCGGGGACTGGGGAGGTAGTTGTGGACACGAAAGACACTGTTGAATCTCGAACTGCTTCACAGGATTTACTGAGAGGTGCAGTGACTGTGTGCAGTAGGTGAATCATATATACAAGAACACAAACGTCTCATTTAAAAGATGATGCCTCTGACGAGTGTGCAGCCCCCACCCCGTCCCCCCGACGAGATATAAAGCCATTTCCCGGGCAGGCGAGTGCTGGGGTGTCTGTACCTGACTCAGGCGATCCTGTACAATGGCCACAATCTGTTCCTTGGTGTAGGGAGGAAAGTTCAGGAGCTGAGGTTTACACCGGGGATGAGCTTGCAGTCGGGGCAGAATGCGATCAGTCAGGTCTAGTGCGTTTGCGATGCCTGAGAAATAATAATAACGAATATAATAGGTCAGAAGGTCGACTCAAAGAGGCTTTACAGGATTTACAGTGAAGTGGAGTGACTGTGCAGGCCGCTGTGGCAGCCCAGTTTGCACGCTTCAAAGGCGTCAAAAACAGCCATGAAGTAAAGACCAAGGAGGGCTTTGAAGGGAAGATGGAGGACGAGCAAGGCCAAGATGGGGGGAAAGAGACAGAAAGAGAGAGAGAGAGAGAGAGAGAGAGGGAGTTTGCGCATTGTGGCCAGGGGCAGAAAGTAATAAAAAAAGCTCAATGCAAGGCCTTGAGGACGAGGAGGTTCCAACAAATCTCACCGATCAACACGAGCCTGGAGTTGAGGAGCCAGGGCCACTCAAAGACTGTGTATAGGACATCCTGAGCCTGGCTGTCCAACTGGTCCATCTCATCCACAACCAACAACCTGAGAACAAACAAATAAATAAATAAACACTTACATAAGAACATAAGAATTAGGAGCAGGAGTCGGCCATTCGGCCCCTCGAGCCTGTGTCCCGCCATTCGATAAGATCATGACTGATCTTCAGACCTCACTCTAATTACCCGCCCTATCCCCATAGCCTCCATATCCCTCTATTTTTTAAGAATCTATCAGTCTCAGCTTTGAAGATGTTCAAGGACTGAGCATCTACAGCCTTCTTTACCCTCTGAGTGAAGAAATGTTTCCTCAACTCTGTTCTAAAAGGCTGACCCTTAATTTTAAGACTGTGACCCCTGGTTATAGATTCTCCTACCGGGGAAACAGACCCTCAGTGTCTACTTTATCAGCCCTTTAAGAATCTTATATGTTTCAATAAGATCTCCCCTAATTCTTCTGTACTCTAGAGAATACAGCCCTAGTTTATTCAGCCTATCCTCATAGGTCAGTCCCCTCATCCCAGGAACTAACCGAGTGAATCTACGCTGCACCCCCTCGAGGGCAAGTATGTCCTTTTTTAAATAAGGAGACCAAAACTGCACACAATACTCTCGGTGCGGTCTCACCAAGGCCCTATACAGTTGCAGCAAGACTTCCCTACTCTTGTACTCTAAACCTTTTGCAATGAACGCTAACATGCCGTTCGCCTTCTTAGTTGCTTGCTGCACCTGCAAACTAACTTTTTGAGACTGGTGTACAAGGACACCCAAATCCCTCTGAACACTAACACTATCTAATCTCTCCCCCTCAGAAAATAATCTGTTTTTCTATTTTTTCTACCTAGGTGAATAACTTCACACTTCCCCACATTAAATTCCATCTGCCACCTACTCGCCCACTCCCCAGCCTATCTATATCCCGTTGCAATCTTTTTGCATCATCCTCAGAGCTTACTCTCCCACCTAGTTTAGTGTCATCCGCGAATTTAGATACGTTACATTCAATGTCCTCGTCTAGATCATTGATGTAAATTGTAAATAGCTGAGGCCCAAGCACTGATCCTTGTGGCACTCCACTAGTCACATCCTGCCAATTCGAGAATGACCCGTTTATCCCTACTCTCTGTTTTCTACCCGTTAGCCACTCTTCAATCCATGCTAATATGTTCCCATTAATCCCGTGGGCCTTAACCTTGTGCAATAGCCTTTTGTGTGGCACTTTGTCAAATGCCTTTTTAAAATCTAAATATACTACATCTACTGGTTCCCCCCTATCTAACCTGCTAGATACATCTTCAAAAAACTCTAAAAGATTAGTTAAGCATGACTTCCCTTTTGTAAAGCCATGTTGACTCTGCCTAATCTTGTTATGGTCTTCCAGGAATCCCATAACGACATCTTTAATTAAGGACTCAAGAATTTTCCCTACCACTGATGTCAGACTAACTGGTCTATAGTTCCCCATCTTTTCTCTCCCACCCTTCTTAAATAGTGGTGTTACGTTTGCAATCTTCCAATCAATGGGAACCGTTCCAGAATCCAGAGAATTTTGGAAGATCAAAGACAAGCCATCCACTATCTCAGTAGCCACCTCTTTTAAAACCCTAGGATGTAGGCCATCAGGTCCAGGAGATTTATCAGTTTTAAGACCTGACAATTTACCTAAAACCATTTCTTTACTAATATTAATTCCCCAAGTTGCTCGCTAACATTGTCTTCTTGGTTCCCCTCTATTCTTGGTAGGTTTTCAGTGTCTTCTAAGGTGAAGACAGTAGCAAAGTACTTGTTTAATGACTCTGCCATGTCTTTGTCCCCTACTATAATTCCCCCCGTCTCTGCCTGTAGCGGACCCACATTTACCTTTGACAGCCTCTTCCTCTTTATATATTTATAAAAACTCTTGCAGTCTGTCTTTATGTTCTTCGCTAGTTTGCCCTCATATTCCATTTTCTCCCTCTTAATCACTTTTTTGGTTCTCCTTTGTTGATCCCTAAAGTTCTCCCAATCCTCGGGTTTACTACTCATCTTAGCTGTTTTATAGGCTTCTTCCTTTAACTTTATACTTTCCCTAACTGCTCTAGTTAGCCACGGTTGGGCCACCTTTCCCGTGGCATTCTTATTCCTCAAAGGAATACGTGCTCGCTGGGAATTTTGCACTATCTCCTTAAACGTCTGCCATTGCTGGTCTACTGTCAAATCCTTAAGTCTAATTTCCCAGTTTATTTTGGCTAAATCCTCTCTCATACCAGCAAAATTGGCTCTACTTAAATTTAAAACCTTTGCTTCGGACTTAACTACTTCTCTCTCTAACTTAATGCTAAATTCCATCATATTATGATCACTTTGCCCTCGAGGAGCCTTAATTTCCCATTTGCTGATCAGCCCTGCTTCATGGCACAAAACAAGGTCTAATATGGCCTGTTCCCTGGTTGGCTCCTCGGCACACTGATCTCGTATAAATAAATAAATAATATTCCTCGTATGTCACAAGATCGGGCTAGGATGAAAGAGTTAGGATTATCTGGCCCAGGTGTGTGAGCCTGGCACAGTGGGTAGCACTCTCACCTCTCGATCAGAAGCTTGTGAGTTCAAGCCAGGACTTTGAATCCCTATTGAGACGTCTCCAAGCGCTTCACAGAATATACTGCAAAGTGTAGTAACTGTGTATTTTGTGGGCGAATCGCGGCAGCCAATTGTGCACAGCAGGGTCCCACAAACAGCCATAGAGCTAGTGACCAATTTTATTTGGGGGATGTGTTGGCCAGAACATTGGGAGAAACTCACTTTTTCTGAATAGCGCCCCGGGATCTTTAACGTCTATCTGAACAGGCAGACGGTACTTCGGTGTGACGTCTCATCTGAAGGACAGCACCTCCCAACACCCCACCCCAGCATCGCATTGCAGTCAGCTTAGACCAAACGTTCCAAGTCCCAACTTGGGGCTTGAAGCCACAACCTTGACTTAGGTGTGAGAGCGCTACCACTGAGCCGGGCTGACACACGCACTGAGCCGGGCTGACACACGCACTGAGCCAAGCGGATGCAATGAGTGATGGAGTGGGGGGTGAGCAGGTGGGAGAGGTAGGGAGGTGTGAGGGCATGAAGAGATTTGAAAACCAGTGAGAGGATCTTGAAATTGATCCGTTGGGTGATTGGGAGCCAATGGAGCCTGGCGAGGGCTGGGGTGAGGGGGGATGGAGTTTAGTGTGTGATAGAGAGACAGTGGAGCCTGGCGAGGGCTGGGGTGAGGGGGGGATGGAGTTTTGTGCGGGTGAGCATCCGGGAGGTGGAGTTCTGAGTTAGTTGAATTTGGTGGATGGTGGAGTTAACCCCCCGACCAGAGCAGAGCAGATAGACGGCCTGACCACAGGAACACTCCAGCCTCGGACACTTACACCATGGGCCCCGCGCTGCACAGCTGCCTGGCCAGCTGCCGGGGAATGTTATTTCCCAAACATCTCAGCTGCTCCCGTCTAAACAGCTTGTTCGCAACCACCTGGAAGATGCTCTGGGAGCTTCTGAGTGACATGCAGTTAATGATGATCGTCTGAGCTCCACCCAACTCCTCCTGTCAACATAAGCCACAAACAACCACATAACTACACCAACAACAAGATTACATTTGTCTAGCGCCTTTCACGTTGGGAGGATGTCCCAAGGCGCTGGACAGTGTACAGCATTTCAGACCCGAGCTGGGGTCGGGGGGGGGGGGGGGGGGGGGGGGGGAGTGGCCGATGGCATGGTTGAAGAGGAGGGTTTTGAGGCGGGACTTGAAGGAGGCTAAGGAGGGGGCGAGGCGGAGTGATTCAGGGATAGAATTCCAGAGGTTGGGGGCAGAGTGGCTGAAGGTTGAAGGCTCTCCCGCCAATGGTGGGGCGGGTGGGTCGGGGGATGTGGAGTAGGCCAGAGCCGGCTGAATGGAGGGAGTGGGCATTTACAACAGGCATTTACACAGCCACCATCACGCAGGAGAGCTGCACAGTGTGTATGTGTGTGTGCGTGTGTGTGTGTTTGTGGGGCGGGGAAAAGCAAGTGGGTGCGGCGGCGGAGGTGTTGGTCTTAGCGTTGGTGTGAGTGGTGGCAGTGCTGGTGTTGGTGTAAATGGTGTCGGTGCTGGCGTGAGTGGTTGCAGTGCTGGTGCGCGCGGTGGCGGCGCTGGTGCGCGCGGTGGCGGTGCTGGTGTGGGCAGTCCTGGTGCTGGTGTGAGCGACATCGGTGCTGGTGTGAGTGGTGGCGGTGCTGGTATAGGTGTTGCCGAGCTGGGTACCTGCATGTCTGGCAGGAGACGGTTGAGGAGGGCGGTTTTGCCGGTGCCGGGAGCTCCCGAGACATACAGACTCCCCGGCCGCCTAGCACAGACGTGCTGCCTGAGGAAGGTCTTGATGGCTCTTCTCTCCACCTCGCGGGCCAGCAGCCGGTCAGGGAGTGCGGTGTGTAACACCTGCTTGGTTTGCTGGTAACTGGTACCTGTCCAAACCAGCAACAATTAGGATCATCATCATTACAAAAAATAATCCTCACCTGACACAGCGCTGAGTATAACACATTGAAACATATCAAATTGCTCTAGTCACCAGGTAACCTTTGGAATGTCCTGCCTCTCCCCCCATCCCCCAACCCCCGGCATCCTCCCCCTCTGCACTTTAACCCCACAGAAAAACTAGCTGCTCTGACTGTGCTGTGCCCCTCACTGTGCGATGCTCCTCCAACGAAAGCTGAGGGTAAATGTAAGTTGTTATTGCTGTCAGCAAGACAGAAGCCATATTCTTTGGCTCCCGTCAACATCTTCTCACCTGCAGGTCTGAACTCCTCAGCCTCCCCGGGCTCTACTCCACTGTCTCTCTATCACACACTAAACTCCATCCCCCCTCACCCCAGCCCTCGCCAGGCTCCACTGTCTCTCTATCACACACTGATCTCCATCCCCCCTCACCCCAGCCCTCGCCAGGCTCCACTGTCTCTCTATCACACACCGATCTCTATCCCCCCTCACCCCAGCCCTCGCCAGGCTCCACTGTCTCTATCACACACTGATCTCCATCCCCCCTCACCCCAGCCCTCGCCCGGCTCCACTGGTTCCCAATCACCCAACGGATTGATTCAAGATCCTCTCACTGATTGTCAAATCCCTTCATGCCCTCACACCTCCCTGCCTCTCCCACTTGCTCACCCCCCACTCCACACCCTGCCTCCGATCGACTGGCTCTCGGCCTCCTGTTGTCCTCATGTGCCCCCATTCTACATGTCTCACTTTCAGCCACTACACCCCGAAACTCTGGAACTTCTTCCTCATCCCTCCGCCTTGCCCCCTCCTTCCCCACTTCATTAGTCCCGGCCTAGAAGACACTTCCTTTTATTGATAGTGCTACGGTAACCTCCACCCTCCCCCGATCGTCTCCCATTGTCTAAGTGTCTCATGGGACCGCCCCCATGTGTGAGGGGGGGGCTCGTGTAAATGCAAGTTCTCTCTTCAACCGTGCCGATTCACGTGTGTGTGAGTGTGTGTAGTGTGAGTGTGAGTTGATGTGAGTGTGTGTGAGTGTGTGGGGTGGTGGTGTGGTGAGTGGTGGTGTGAGTGTGAGTGTGTGTGAGTTGTGGAGTGTGTGTGAGTGTGTGTGAGTGGTGTGTGGAGGTGAGTGAGTGTGGAGTGGTGTGTGAGTGTGTGGTGTGTGTGGGTGGTGTGTGAGTGGTGTGAGTGTGGGTGGGGTGAGTGTGTGGTGTGAGTGTGTGTGAGTGTGTGGTGAGTGGGGTGTGAGTGTGGTGAAGTGGTGTGAGTGTGAGTGTGAGTGTGTGTGAGTGTGTGTGAGTGTGTGGTGTGTGTGAGGTGTGAGTGTGTGTGTGGATGGTGGTGAGTGTGTGGTGGAGTGGTGAGGTGTGAGTGTGTGTGAGTGTGTGTGATGTGTGAGTGTGTGTGAGTGTGTGAGTGTGTGTGAGTGTGTGAGTGGTGTGAGTGTGTGTGAGTGTGTGAGTGTGTGTGTGTGAGTGTGTGTGAGTGTGTGAGTGTGTGAGTGTGTGAGTGACTCCCATATAAGATTATTTTATGAATTACAGAAATTGGCTTCAAATTACGACCAAATGCAACAATTTGTTTACTTCTGTTTACTCTGAAATGATCAATAAAAACAATCTATGCGTTTGACAACGACAACAACTTGTGTGTGTGAGCTGAGTTGGTTGGAGCGGCGGTTGGGGGGGTGGGGGGGGGGGGGGGGCGGCGGGGGGTAGGGGACCTGAGGCAGCTGAGTTGGTTGGAGCGGCGGTTGGGGGGTGGGAGTAGGACTGCAAAGAAGGGGATAAATGTGGGTTTTTGGCGGGTGAGCAGTCTGCCCATGTGGGATGGAGATGGAGATGGAGATGGAGATGGAGAGTGTAATTCCATCCCATTGATTCAGATTAAGGAGAGGATTCTGCTCTTTGCTTTTCTGTGTTGGCCTTTCTCAATCCACAGTGCGGTGACCTCTGACAGTAAGGTTGTGGGGTCAAACCCCATGTCGAAGACGCTGAGCTCACAGTCGCTGGGGGAACTATCCTTTGGTTTGATGTTAAACGCAGCTCTGTCATTGGAAAAGAAAAAGGAATTTGTCTCCCAGTGTCAGTTTCCCCGGAAAAAAAAATCAGTCATTCACATCACAGCTGTTTATGGGACATCGCTGTGTACAAGAGTGCAAACATTTCCACAGCGACGTGGGATTTTTAGCACTCTGACACCTTGCCCCCCACCCCCCCACACCCCACACGCACTGTATTGGACTGTCAACCTCGACTGAGAGCTCAACGTGAGAGCTTGAACCCCGCAGCCTCTGCCTCAGAGACGGGAGTGTTCCTGACTGAGCCGGACTGAGACCTGATGATTGTAATAAGTGTTATACAGTGCGTCAGCCTGGCCTCGTGGTAGTGCTCTCACCTCTGAGTCAGAAGATTGTTGATTGAAGCCCCGCGTCGGAACATTGTCTAAGATGACGCTCCTGTACCGAGCCCAGCCCCCCAGCTGGCTCCCAGCACCGGACAGGTCGATTTCAAGATCCTCATACTCATCTTCAAATCCCTCCATGCCCCGGCACCTCCCTACCTCCCCCACCTGCTCAGCCCCCAACCCACAACCCGCTGCCTCCACTCGACTGGCTCCGGCCTCCTGTATGTCCCTCGTGCCCTCCGTTCTACAATTGGTGGCTGCACTTTCAGCCACTAACCCCAGAAACTCTGGAACATTCTTCCTCTATCCCTCCGCCTTGCCCCTTCTTTCCCCATTTTTAGGTCGCGCCTGAAGAAACTTCCTATTCGACCAGTGCCTACAGTCACCTCCGCCTCCCTCCGTCGTGCTGCGCCATTGTTAAGCGCTCTGGGACGCTGCCCTGTGTGAGGGGGCGCTGTGTAAATGCAAGTTGTTGTGGTTGCAATATGCCGTCCATTGGATGACGTTAAACCAAGGTTCCCTCTGCCTGTTTAGGTGGATGTTAAAGATCCCACTATTCAAAAAGAGAAGGGAGTTTCTCCTGGAGTCTTGGCCAACAATCCCCTAAATAAAACTGTCACTCACTTCAATGCTGTTTGGGGTATGTTGCTATGTGCAAATTGGCTGCGGTGTTTGCCCACAAAACCCAGTCACTACACTTTACAGTACAACCTGGCGTCCTCTCGATGTGAAAGGTATCAAATGTAAGCATTACTATTATTGCTGCTGTTTATGCGTCTGCTATGATCCTGGAGTTAAACCTCAGTCATGTTTATTGTTTCCAGATAATAGCGGAGCTGAGACAAGTGCAAATCAGTAACAGCTGCAGAGAGAGCCAGTGGGAAGCTTGAGGAGTTTAATGAAGGAAATTACTGAATGAAACCTCAGAGTGAGAGACCACATCAGTGTACGAACATATAATAAACCATTTCCATGATGATACCTCCAATTTTGTCAGATGTTAGTCTAATTTTACAGAAACCATTTGACTCTATTTCCTGTAATCTGCTACATCACATAACTAGTAACTATCCTCCTGAGAGGGTGGTGTGGGAGAAGCTGGGTCTCCCTGGGACTGAGGTGCCTCCTGTGTCTGCAATGGGAAATCGGAATCAGGTCAACTGTGTGCAATGGTGTGCGGATAGATTCCTGAGCCAGGCGGGTCGGGTCCACAGGATTCCAGGGCACTGATAATCACAGACCAGCTGATCTGGGAAGAGCAGACCAGTTACTGAGGGTTCGGGATTCTTCCCGATCGGTTCCTGTTAACCCTGCAAGCCAAAGCCCTAACAGGATGGTTTAAGCTGGACAAGCCGCGGGAAGCTTGCCAGACAGCGCTGTCAATGGCAGGTTATATAGCTTTAGCTGGTTAGACTCCAGCGGTTAACCCCCACCCCCATATGGTTTGCGGCCCTGCTCAGACAGGCCGAAGGCCTTTCTCATTTGACCTCCTTGTGTAATCTCCTGATTGTGGAGCTGTGACTCGCTGGAGTTATATTCTGGGGGAAGAGGAGGAGTTATATTTGGGGGAGGGGTTATATTGGGAGAGGAGTTTTATTTAGGGGGTTATATTTGGGGAGAGGAGGAGTTATATTCGGGGGGAGGCAGAGGGGAAGGCAGAGGACAATAAGGTTTTGTTGGATGTTACCCCTCCCACTATTCAAAAAGAAAGGGAGTTTATCTCTCCCGGTATCCTGGCCAACAATCCCCTCCTCCCCCCACCCACTTCATGGCTGTGCGTGGCATGGTTGGCTGCTGTGTTTACCTACAAAAAACACATAGTCACTACACTTCACAGAAGCTCCCCATGAACGCTCTAAGACGTCTTGACTCCCTCCATAGGCTATGTTTTAGGTTCAAGGATTGTTGTTTGAGCTAAAACCCAGAGAGAGAGATAGAAACGTGAGGTTAAATGATCAGCAGTGACACCTTCCCATTGTTATGTTGTGCGTCTGACTTGGCTCCTTCTCACTGAAACTTCAGTCCATGTCTGGTTGGCTTTGCTCCTGATGCTTTCCCATGTTGCGTAACTCTCTCAGGACCTTTCCTGGGTTTTCCTCAGCCGTGTCCGAAGATATTAGAAGATTAAAATGTTATATTTCCTGCGAGTCCATTACAAATAGACTCGAGCAACACCGGCTTGTCATTCTGATTTCACTGTGTTGTAAAAACTAGAGCTGTTTGCAGCAAGTCTTCTCTTGCTCTTTTATATATCAAATAAAATGATTGCATGTTATTTTGGAGAAGGCAGCAAAGGTTCCAATTCATAGATCAAATCCTCCAGAAATCGTAAATCCCCCCCAGCCAGCAGCACTTCAAAGGAAATGGGAAAAGTGGGGAGAGAGGAATCCTGATATCAAAGGAAAGAGTTTGTGTCAATTAGCTGGGAGTCATTCTGCTCTGCTCCGTCTACACTTACTGAACAGTCCTCACTGTATACAGTGTTTGCATGATGGTGTATTTGTGAGTGTGTATGTGAGTGTATGTGTGCGTGTGAGTGTGTTTGTGAATGTGAGTGA